GTCTTGGATGGTGTCAAGCTTCTTGAGTGTTGTTGGAGCTACACCTATCCAGGCAAGTGGGGAGTATTCCATCACACTCCTGACTTGTGCCTTGTAGTTGGTTTGTTGAGTCGGGAGGCAAGTTACTCACCAGAGAATTTCTAGCCTTTGCCCTGCTCTTGTAGCCTCAGTATTTATACGGCTAGTCCAATTCAGTTTCTGGTCAATGATTACACCGATAATGAGGGGTTCAGCAAAGGTAATCCTTTACTGTTACGTTACAGGGAAGGTAAACTGCCACTCCTACCTCGTCAGAGGCTACATGTGACCCTATCTCACAGTGTGGAATAGAGTGGTTCAACTTCACTAAGGACTTAAGCTGATTCCTGTTAACCTGGTGGAGCAGTTTGCAATGTCAGGCTGGTTCTGTAAAGGGCATACCATCAACTCCTCTCAAAGTAGCACCCAAGACATTTATCTACACAGAGATATTTGCAATTAATGTCTTTGAAGCAATTAGGGTTAGGGTTAGGGTTAGGGTGGGTTAAAGATGGAGAATAAATACAATCTGGTGGAGGAGTCTGCCTACATCCTAAGGTCAAATTCCACCAAACATTCCTCCTTTGAATGAGATAGCACAGGGATTTGGCTCATCATACCTCCTGCGGCACTTCGAAAATGTTATTCAAATAGACTTAATCTCCCTGGTGTTTCCCCACAGCCATAAAAACTTTTTCCCCTTTTTGTATTTATCTAATTCTCTTTTGCAAGTTCTTACTGAATCTGCTCCAACTCCCCGCCTTTCAGGCAAAGGATTTATAGTCACAAACAACTTGTTGAGTAATAGACATACAAATAGACAGACGCGCATAAGAAACAGGAGCAGCAGTAGACCATTCGGCCCTTCAAACCTACTCTGACATTCAATCTGATCATGGCTGATCTGTTGGTGTTTCAAACTGCACATTCCCATTTACCTCCGATAATAAGAGATTCCCTGTCTGATAAGACTCTATTCACCTCTGCCTTAAAAATATTTTAAAACTGACCCCGCCTCCACTGCTTTCTGAAACAGAGAGGTCTGAAGTTACACAACCCTTAAAGGGAAAAATTCCTCCTTGTCTCTGTCCTAAATGGGTGAACCCTAATTGAAAAACAGCGCCCCCTCGTTCTGGACTCGCCCTCAGGAGAAAATATCCTTCCCACATCCACCTTGTCAAGATCATTCAGGATCTTACACACTTCGATCACTTTACACAGTCAGTCATTCCTCACTCTTCCAGTGGAGACAAACCTGTCCAGGCCCACTCATTCCAGGAAAAATATAAATTAGGAGCAGGAGTGGGCCATTTGGCCCCTCAAGCCTACTCTGCCGTTCAATAAGATCATGGCCGATCTGATTCAACATTCCCACCTATTCTCAGTGATCTGAAGGAGTTATTCAGAAAACTAATGCCCCTCTGGTTCTTTTTCCAATTGCATTGACTCTGTAGCCTCTAGTTCCCAACCTTTATTTTTCCATTGGAAATAACTTGTCATTACGTATTTTATCAAAATTGCTCATCATTTTGAATGCCTCTATCACGTCTCCACTGATCCTTCCAAGTAGAACAACCTCATCATCAGGAACAAGACACTGGTCACTTAGCAGTGAACTAAGTTGTACAATGGCAGCCATGTTTGCCTACACAACTTCAGCAAACACATTTCAAAATTAATTCATTGCGTTAGGTACTTTGATCTGATAAAAGGCCAAGACGAATTCAAGTATCGTAACGAAATGCAAGAGGCTTTTACTGAGAAATTTGTTGGAAGCTGTTAGTTGACAGTAGGCCAAACTATTCTCAAGAAACTTCCTTAAATGAGTCTGCAAAAGGATGCACTGCATGGCTGAGCCATTCAGAACAGGGGGAGCCCAGTTTCAAACTCTGTGGGCACTGAACTGATTCTAGTTAATCTCGGCCAATACTGAAATATAGAAACATAGAAAGTAGGAGCAGGAGTAGGCCATTCGGCCCTCCGAGCCTGCTCCATCATTCAATATCATCATGGCTGATTCTCTATCTCAATGCCATATTCCTACTATCTCCCCACATCACTTGGTGCCTTTAAAATCTAAACATTTATCTCTCTCTCTCTTGAACATTTTAAGGGTGAGGGAGGGAATGTTGAAAGGGATGCACGGAACCACAGGCCCTGACATGGAGATAAGCAAACCTGGTCAGAGTTCCTGTTCCTGTGTGATATCAGTCACCCGCATGAGAAGCCTGTGCAGACAGACAAAGAATAGGCTTGATAACTGATGCCCGCCACAGTGGAATAGCCCACTAGTATTTTCTCTACTGATTCACAAACAATGAACAAAATTACAAGGGAGCCAGCTGCATCCATCGAAGTGTCACCCAGTTACATTGGGCAAACAGAGGAGTGTTAGACAGAGCAGTGAAGTCTTGAGTGTTAGAATGCCATTTTTGTTTTGAGGTGGCATGATGGCTCAGTGGTTAGGACTGCTGCCTACAGTGCTAGGGATTTGGGTTTGATACCAGCCTGCGGCGACTGTCTGTGTGGAGTCTGTGTGGATTTCCTCCTGTCCTCTGGTTTCCTCCCACAGTCCAAAGATGTGCACGTTAGGTGGATTGGTCATGATAAATTGTCCATAGTGTCCAGGGACGTGCAGGCTGGGTGGATTAGCCATGGGACATGCAGATTTATACGGGAGTGGGTCTGGGTGGGATGCTCATCGGAGGGTCAGTGTGAACTTGATGGGCTAAATGGCCTGCATTCACACTGTAGAGATTCTACAATTCTATGAAAGAAAAGGATGCAGAACAAACAAATTTCTGCAGCTGACCTGTGTTCGACTGGTCAAATCAAAAACTTAATATGCCATGTTTGGATCTGAGCCCTCACCAAAATTACCATACTGAACGGAACAAAATCCTGAGGAGAAGCCTCCAGCTTTATAATCCGACTCATGTCACTGTTCCTGTTCTCAGTGAACTGCGGGTTTTCACTGAACCTGCCGCAATGGCTCTAACCTCAGTTTTTAACATTCCGCTGTGGTACTCACCACAGGAACATCCCATAGAGGGAGAGAGGAGCTCAGAGAGAGGAGCACACTGCCACTTTGATGTGTTAATCAAGACATCTGGGTGTCAATGTGGAGAATAAATTATTTAAAAGCAAAATACTGAAGAGTTCCAAAGAACAGTCTGCAACGTTAACTCTGTTTCTCTCTCCACAAATGGTGCCAGACCTCTGGGGTTTCTTCAACAATTTGAATAAATTACTTCCCTTGCATCAGAACTGAACGCTCCCACTAGGAACAGCGAGGTCATGATAATCTACCCTGACCATCTAACTCAGCACTTGATCTCAAATAATCATCCATCGCTGTGAATGGTTTTCTGTGCCCTCGCGCTACCCAGTGATTTAGTGGGTAGCCCTCATGCCTTTAATTTCCTCAGTTGCAGATTCAAGCCCCACTTGCAGAGAATTGAATGCAAAGTCTCAGGGTGCCCCTCCAGTGCAATACTGAGAGAGTGTCGCACTGTTGAAGGTGAGGTCTTTCCGATGAGATGTTAAACCAGTACAGGCCTTCTCTTGTTATCTCAGTTGCACATGGAGGATCACACAGTACATTTTTGAAGAAAGCTTTCCCCAGTGGCACTGGCTAAAGTTCACTTCTCTATCGGCAGCGAGGGCAGATCGTCTGGTCATTTGTTTCACTGCTGTAGTGTTGAAGCTTGTTGCACACCAATTAGCTGCTGCACATCCAAGATTACAAGCAATTTCCCTTCCAAAAAAAAAGTTTTAAAAAGCACATTGGGAAATCCCAAACTTAAAAAAAGGTTGCCATATAGATGCAGGTCTCTCTTTTCTCTCTCCACATGGAACTATCCAGTAAGGTTCAAACAAAAGGTGGGCTTGTGCTGCTAAATCCTTGAATGACGAGGGATTGGGAGAATGAAGGAGGGTGGGGGCGTTGTCTGGGGTAATGTCGAATTCCAGACTCATCAAGCAGAACAGTCTTATAAACAGGAGGCTTTGGACACGGGGTGTTTGGGGCTGTGCACTGTTTCCTTTTCATTTCACCATCAACCCTTTGGCCTTTACGGATGTGAGATCGGGGAGCGAGATTGAAATTGAGTGTCAGGTCCTCCAGCTCCTGACCCCTCTCTCATTGCAGGAACTGGCTCAAATCAAATCCAGCTCCCATGTCTTCTGACTTCACCCTACCGGCCAGAGGCAAACAGATTTGTTTGTGCAACAGCCCCCTCTACATGAAACCATTCCCCCATGTTTTGGTAACACCATTGAACATCTGCATTTCCTAACACTCAGTAGTAATTAAGGTCTTCACCAGTTATCAGAAAGGATGTGCTGTTACTCCAAGGATTATTTACAACGTGTCGTTTTTTTTAGAAAAAGCTACACCACGAGGGATTTCATTTCCTTCCACACTTACCTTGTTTAAAGCACAGATCTTGGAAAAACCTACTCCAAGTTAACCTCTTGAATTAAACCATCAAACAGACAACTCAACTGGATCAGTGTGGCAATTATAGGTCCTCAAATGGTTAAAGAAAGCCAAACTTCACCAAGGAAGCATTCCCTTCTTCTTGCTCTCTCTTCTCTCTTAAGAAGTAATCTTCTCAGAAATATAAGGAGCAGAATATGTATACACCGTTATGTATAATTATAATTTTCGGTCATGTTTTGCATGCAGTACCATTGTGCCCTTAAGCAGAAGATGAGGCACAAAGTACATATTAACCTTTGTTTTCTTCTGAAAAACTAACTCCTGTAAAGTTTCTACTGTATTTTGCTCCTTGTATAGATTTCCCAGTGTATAATGCTATTCTAAGACCATTGAAGCGTTGCTTTTTTTAAAATTTTAAACAGTTTTAGCTCTTATTTTTCCCCTTGTTTTTACTATCAAGATAAGTAAAGAAAGCTGAACTCATATATTACATATACAGGCCCCCTTAATAAATTAAAAAAAATTTTGTTTGGTCCTTTTGATCCCTGAATGTCGGAGGATTGAGAGATAAAGACTCAATGTGTTCTGCGTTACCATGTCAACCATATGGATTCAAAAACATACACACACACACACACAAAAAACCCCAGCCATGGCAACCATCGCCTAGGAGACCTAGCTGGGTGCTCGGCGACACAGAACTGTGCCAAAGCAGCCTCCTCTGCAACCTTTAAGACGCAGCCGTCCCTACATCGCATTATGTCACGTGTGCTATTGTCAGATCCAAGTCTTCTTAAATAGCTGCAATGAAATTTCACATTTTCAGGGTTCTCGAAATGTTTTCTTCAAGTTTTATATCTCGGTATCTCCCCCTCGGCACTGATTTCGGGGACTCAGCCCTCTCAAAAAAGGTACTTCTTCATAATCCACACCGTTCCTGCCCTGGGGAGAGGACGAAAGCATTGTCAATGTTGAGTCGAAACGCATGGCGCCCTGGTTCTACAAAGATGATAGCTGACAGAGGGGGCAATTACCCTTTTCTTAAAAAAATAACAGCATTAATTTGAGATTAAGACAATAACATAAATGGCACAACGAGTATTACCAGAGGGTCTTCACATTGTTAATATTAACTTACAGATTCATAGATACATACAGCGCAGAAAAGGCCCTTCAGCCTATCAAGTCTTGATCAACATAACCACCACTAAAGGTGCACTAATCCCCATTTCCTGCAATTGTCCCATATTCTTGAATGTTATGATAAGTTAGTGCATTTTTTTGGTGACCTTTAAAAAGTACATGGATGAGCACCTGAAATACAAGGCTATGGGTCAAGTGCTGGAAAGTGGGATTTGTGTAGATAGGTCAGCGTAGACTTAATGGGCTGAAGGGCCTCTTCCGAGCCATAAGAGTCTGACTCTCATTCTTTGTGACTCTACTGTCAAAACCTGCAGCTTCCTCAATCAGATGAAGGGCTCCAGAGTTTGTCTGGGTCAGAGATCTCACCCAAGAGGTCAGTGACCAAAGTTCACAAATTAACAGTGAGCACCACGTGCTACCATGATCTTGTCCATGCCCGATGCGCATGCATGGGCACATCTGGGGGTGAGGGGCAGAGATGTAAAGCCATAGAATGCAAGACAACAGGCAAAGTGCTGGAAAATGAGATTCAAATAGATAGGCTTTTATTGACCAGAGCAGACATGATATGCTGAACGTAACTTTTTCTTTAATTCATTCACGGGATGAGGGTGTCACTGGCTAGGCAGCATTTATTGCCCATCACTAATTGCCCAGAGGGCAGTTAAGAGTCAACCACATTGCTGTGGGTCTGGAGTCACATATAGGCCAGACCAGGTAAGGATGGAAGCTTCCTTCCCTAAAGGACATTAGTGAGCCAGATGGGCTTTTCTAACAATCAGCAATGGATTCATGGTTATCATTGGACTATTAATCCCAGATTGTTTTTATTGAATTCAAATTCCTCCATATGCCACTGTGGGATTCGAACCTGCGTCCTCAGAACATTACCTGGGTCTCTGGATAAACAGTCCAGCTAAAGTACCACTGGATTGCCACCTCCCCATGCTGTAAAAACTCTATAACTGTAAAGAGTGGGCATGTTGGTACATAAGTGACCCAGGGACACTTTAGCCAATTGTAAATCCATTGCCTCCCGAGCTGAGGCCACTGTATCTTGTCGTTTCGGAACCCTTCCCAACATGCGAACAACTTGAGATAACACGGTGTAGAGCTGGATGAACACAGCAGGCCAAGCAGCATCAGAAGAGCAGGAAGGCTGACGTTTCGGGCCT